GTGGCCATTAGACAAATCAACAGTGGGAAAACAGAAGGATCTGACGATGTACCAACTAAGGCACTCAAGTCATACATAGAAGCAACTGCAAACATGCTCCACGTTCTATTCGGGAAGATTTGGGAGGAATAACAAGTAACAACTGACTGTAAGGAAAGACAACTCATCAATATACGAAAGAAAGCAGGTCTGAACAAGTGTAAGAACCATAAAAGAATAACACTACTGTCAGTAACAGGAAAAGTCTTCAACAGAGTGTTGCTGAACAGCATAAAAGTCTCAGAAGACGCCCAACTTCCTGATCAACAGGCTGAATTCTGTAAGAATCGGTCGTGCACAGACCAAATCGCAACACTACTGATCATTGTTGAACAATCAGTTGAGTGGAACTCGTCACTATACATTAACTGCATTGACTATGAGAAGGCGTTTGACGGTGTGAATAAGCGAACCTTCTTCAACACGATGGAGTACCTCAGAACATCGTCAACATTATCCGGCATTCATACGACAGACTGCAGTGTAAATTGGTACATGGACAACAGCTGACGGATACATTCCAAGTAAGGATTGGAGTCAGACAATGCTACCTACTCTTACCCTTCCTCTTTATTCTGGTGGTCGAATGGATTGTGAAGACCTCGACATCCGAGGGGAGGCACGGAATACAATGGACAGCTTGCATGCAACTAGACGATTTGAACTTCGCAGATGACGTGGCCATTCTAGCCCATTCACACCAACAAATGCAGATGCAGACAACCAGTGTAGCAGAAGTCTATGCATCAGAGGGCCTCAACATTCATAAAGGAAAAAGCAGGATCCTCAAAGATAATATGAAGAACACCAACTCAATCACTCCTGATGGAGGAACTCTGGAACAGGTGGAATCTTTCACATACCTCACCAACATCATCGATGAACAAGGACGATCTGATGAAGACGTAAAGGCGAGGATTAGCAAAGTAAGGACAGCATTCCTACAATTGAAGAATGTGTGGAACTCAAAACAACTGTCAACCAATATCCAAGTCACAATCTGCAATGCGAACGTCAAGACAGTCAGTTCTATTGTACGGAGCTAAAACTCGGAGAACTACTACAACCATCATCAAACATCTACAGGTGTTTATAAATAATTGTCTACACAAGATACTCAATGTCCTTTGGCCGATTACCATCAGCAACTGTTTACTGTGGGAGAGGACAAACCAACTTCCAGTTGAGGAGGAAAATAGGAAAAGACGTTGGTCGTGGATAGGACATACATTGAGGAAATCATCAAACTGCATCACGAAGCAAGCGACAACTTAGAATCCTAAAGGGAAACATAAAAGAAGAAGGCTGAAGCAGACATGAAAATGATGAATAGCAATTGGAAAGGACTGCTCAGGACAGTTGGATGGAGAATGTTGGTGAGCGGTCTGTGCTATTCGATGAGGCGTAACAGGCGTAAGTAAATCAAACTTTTCAATTATTCAATACTAAATGCGCCATTTGTATGAAAGATCTATTTTGACAACATTTTGATTGAGACTATTTTCCAGCTAACTTTCTATAAAACTTCTCAATTTAGCCTCTTAAATTCCTAAGTGTTTATCGATGCAGTAACTAGTGTCTACCGATAAGTCACTGGCATTTATCGTTTAGTAAATTCCAACACCTTTATTTGGCAGTTTCACGTAGATTTGTATGAGATCTTATAATTAGATGAACAGAACTAATGTATCACTACTTCAGTGAAAATAAATTAATCATATTCACTCTAGATTATTCACTTGATTGTTAGATACTTCATTTTGGCTGAATCTATTCTATACGCTGAGAATAGTTACAGTCTTTTTCTACCAAACTACTGTATCGTAGAATATTTTTCTGCGATTGTCTGAACTATCTCCTCAAAATAAATTACTTGTTTCGGCCAGTTAATTAAACACCATGTATAACCTTCGACTTCCAACAGCTCCATATGGTCGACGATGTAAGTAGTTCATAGTAGCTTTGTGTTGTTGATTGTATTGAAATTTGAATAATTGTACATTTTTATGATTTACATGACGTACTAATAGTTTGGAAAATTTTAATGCATCCAGTTGGTGGTGTGTGTGTTCGCAGTGTTTATATTCGTATTAAAATATAATTCTTGGTAACACCACATGTTAGTCTTCTTTTATTAAGAACCTATACTTTTGGTTTATCTCTTTCTAGCTAGGGATATACTGGTGGTCAGGAATCATCGTATTACACTAAACGTTAAGTACACGAGGCAAACAACAAGTTTTCCTTCACTCTTCAAATATCAGCATACAGCAATTAGTTTGCAACTCTCATCATTCAATGCGTTTATGAGGTAAAAATGTTCCTGGAAGCCTTAGTGGTGAACTCACACAGGCGTTTCTTGACAAAGGTATCTAAAAACTAGATTATGGTGACAAGGAAAAGCAACATCTGTGGAGTGGATACCACTGAGTTATCATTAGCTATGTTGTAAAGTTCGTCTATATGTGATAGACTGATCATGATAAGCTTTTACACGCAGATTCTGAAGTACCTTGTGTACCCCGTTTCATTTTTTATGATGCTCTTCGGAAGTGTTTTACTCATGATATTCAAAAAGCTTTTATACTTATCTTTATTTTTGACGCTGGGATTAGTTGGAAAAGCAGATGTGATCAGCCTATGAAATCAGAGTATTATAGTATTTTGTGTAGCTCTTTATAATTCGGATGAGTTGTGATTTGTTTCGGACGGGCTTGTGATCCACGTAACTGTTTATGAGAGAGTATTGTCACAAACCATTCGAACCTAACGCTGCGCGAATAAACAATATACAACAGTTCAAAACCTACCATATTATCCCCTTGATCTGCTTTTAATGGAAACTGGATAGCATTTAACAGAAGTGGTTGTTCGGAATCTCCTTAAATTACTTAAGGCTGAGCACAAGAGTCTACCAATCAAACCTGTCATTTATAATCTAATTACAAGTCATTGATAGATATTCGAGCGGAATCTGTGTTAAATAACATTGATTCTTACTAAAACTTATACTAAAGTCGATGAGTCGTTGTGCTGAAATAAATGTAATTATAAATTGTTTGAGATCTTTATTAGTTCTATCATAATAGTATTTTAATAAAAGCTTATGATAAACGTTCTGTTTAACTAGAAATTACTTCAGTAATGGTAACATAATACGTCTTATCAGATCATAGAAAATAAGATGTAGAAGAAAATTAATTCTTCTTCATTCCAAAACTTTCCTTTAACTACAAGTAGCCTATAAGATACATGAATTTTTTTAATTATAGTACACGTTTTTTGTTCAACAGAAAGCATGATGAATAGAAAATAATTAACATTACACTTCGCAAATGGAGATTTTTAGTTATTATAAATTAATAAGATGGGAAATCCTGAAAATTTCATTTCTCGGAACAAAATAATATTACAACAAAATGTAGTTCCTGTCTGAAAGATTTTCCCTGAAACGATTGAACCTAAGTGGGCTTTCACTTCGATATAAAAGAAACCTGATCAAAATACTTCTACGTAGAATCAAAGCTATATGCTCCCGAAATGAAATTGCATATGAAATAAATGCATTGCGTAATGCTCTAAAAGAAAATGTGTACACTGAGAAACTTATACATAAACATTTAGCCAATAAAATAAGGCACGAGGAGTTACTAACTATGAGCAAGTCTCTGTTTACACTCTTACAAGTTGAAGGTGATGCACCCAGCGAAATGCTAATTCTAACGTTGCACAGAGTAATTCAAAGAATCTTTAGTGCAGGTAAACTACAATTATTGTTTTCTACAGGCCCGATGATCACTCCGAGATGGAAAGATAAATTATTTAAACTAGCCATCTTTTTCTGTATCTACCAATTCAACTGCTATTGTGGAACAAATTATATTGGCAGGTGTTCTAGGGATTTGTATTTTCGTATTTGCAAACACCTCCTAGTGTGGTTATGTAAAAGTATAGTCAAAACTGTTAACAGCTCTATTTTAGCTCATTTAGTACAAACGGGCCATACAGCCGATAGGGAGCAATCATTCACAATCATATATCGTGTTAGCAGCAATCTGCTTAAATCAGTCAAACTAATAATCATTCGAATGCCTGAAGTAATAGCTATTCGAATCGAAAGGCAGTAATCTTGCTTCCCTTGGCCTAATTAATTATTTGTTTGATGACATGGTGATATTTAATAGGTGTTCATACAATCTTCCTTTTACCATTTTCGTAGCTTAAACTGATCTTATTCACACATATTATGATTATTATCATAATACTTGGAAACATCTTGAGACATTCATTTAGCACCCAACTCTTCATAATAGGAACAGTTATAAAAATAAATGTTTGCTTACAAATTACTTCAAATAGCTTGTCGGTTCCACATCAGGGAATGTGTAGTATGCAATAATCTATCCATACTAGGCCACTTTACTAGCTAATCCACTCTAGATGTAAAAAAAATACTCAGTCTAAATACTAATGACCTGCTACCAAGATAATATTTAAAACAACTGGAAACTATTATGATATTATCCTTATGATGACTGAAATTGCCAAACGAGAAGTAAACATAATTAGTTAGTTTTTTTGACACAGACTAAACATATTTGACCCCTTCCGAATGAGCTGAGGACGATTTCTAACAAATAAAATGAACTACATTTATTAAAACTGAAAACTTACAGTACATTATCATTTTTTTATATGTCGGGTTTTTACATACTTTCGAAAAGACAGTGTTTATTAACACCAAAGATATATTTGATGGCAATCCTACAGCAAAATCACCTGGATTATGAAGAGGATCAAAAGTCCTAGAAGTATGTGTTCCGAAAATTTTTCTGAGTAAAACAAAAGACTGGAAGATAAAAAATTTTATCATATAAGAAGTCAGTGAAATGTAGGTAACCAGCCACAATAATTTGAAGAAAGCTCAAAAGAATAGATAGTCAAAGACAAACACCATATAGTCATTCAACTGTTGATTCACTTTTCATGCGTAGTTTAATTAAATGTTTTATTTGTTGAGAAGATGCCTCTAGTTTTGCACGTCGACTGGCAAGTTCTAAGGATAAATTCACAGCACGTCGAAAACAAGATTGTGCATGACGTAAACTAGAAGGAACAAGTACTCCAGAAAACCATCGGATTGGGTCTGTTGAAGGGTTAGGATCTAAAGTATTGCTAGCCAATTCGTCAATTAGCTGAAAACGAGTGGTTTTGAAATCCTTATCATAAGTAGGTTCGATAGGCTGGAAGGAAAGTGAAAAACGTAATATTATAGCTCTTGAAATGCACGTCATCTATGGACGTATAGACCGTTTTAGAAACGATTTGAATATGTTTCAGAACCTTATTCTCATAATAAAATCTCCAAACCGACCCTGATTCAAAAAGCTTTAAACATATATAGAATAATCAATATTAATAGGAAAAAAATCATTTCGATTTGCGCTCTGTTAAGTCCCATTAAAACTCGTGGATAAAATCAAGCATGACTATTCTGAACAATTAAAATGAAATCTGCTACACATAAACGACTGGATTACATTTTAGTGTGTTTATCAGTTTATAAGTGTGTGAACAAATACAAAATGTGGATTAATTGTGGCATACAAATAAAGGTGGATAAATATGAAACGGAAGGATTGCAAAACAGTTTCACTAATCCGACGAATATTTCAGATGGGTCAAAGGACTGATCACAACTAAGGTTTGGTAAATTTGTATAGAAGTAGTTTAAAATGATTATTCACATTTGTTAAAAACTTATCCACACGATAATGCAAACCTACCAAACTCGTTTTAGTGTAATATTAAAGGCAGTGTGGTCAGTGCTTTTCCTTATTATGCTTGTTGTTCTTATGTTTCTCTTAGAGAAAGTTAATGTATGATCAGATTCCTATAAGTGTATTGAGCTAATATACTACATAGCTCCGATAAAATGTCGTCCCTTTACACTATCATTAACAATTTCAGAGATATTACTCTAATACACTTAAAGTAGTTGCAGCAGATACGTTGATTATGTGTACGTAACGTTTGTATAGTATGTATTATTAGATCGATTTTAGTCTTCAAAAACTTTTTTAATCGCCTTGAGCTAATCATCAAGGTTCACGTTGGGACTTTGTTTCATCTTCTAAGGATTATGTAACCATGTAGTATGATTATCCTACAGAATAAATGGTTCACAACCTAGGATATGAACACGCAGGTAGTTGCTAATTTATGAAATTTTACTTCTTAGGTTAAATTTACGTCGAGTATTATTAAGACCTATAGCATACTGACTTCATGATGATGATGCGTGAAATTATATTACTAAGTATCACCCTTACATAGTTAATTTAGTTTTAGAAAGCCACTCCGCGTAACAAGCATTTCTCATGGCACTAAGTACTATTGCGTAAATTAGAATAACTCGGGCATGAAAGATTTTAGTAGTGACGAAATGCTGAGCGAAAAAGTTATTTTAAAAAATAAGAAATTCAATATCATACGAAAAATTAGACATGATATACGATTAATACATTTATATAAATAAAACCAACGTTCAGATGCTTTAGAATTTATGGTAAAAAAATGTGTGAATTACGATTGACAATTGGACTGTTAAAGCATTGTAATATCTGGATGCTTGAGCACAAGTATTACAATTCAATCAACGGACAAGTGTGAAAGCTTAAAGCCAAATAAACTACGCATCAATCGAAATATGATGAGCTAAAAAATTTTGTTATCTGATCATAGAGAAGTGAATTCTATGTATACACATGTACAGCCTTAGTTTCCTAGTGGAACTGTACTGAAGTTGACCGATAAACGGGTCTTGAAAGCTCTGTTCATAGAAATTCGAGCTCAGATTATCACAAAACTAAAACAGTATCAACATGACATGACGCAACTCAATGCCACAGTTGCATTATTAGTAAATTTTTGTGGTGATATTCAGGAGTCTACGGGTTGGCACATAAAAGCTAAATTGAAATCTAAGAATAAAAATATACATAGTATTATTCTAAACCTCATGAATCAGAAAAGTAATGCAAAAAACAACGAAATCATGTTAACTGTTTAATGAAAAAAGAAAAACGTTTATGAATAGGCTACCAAATCATCAGTCAGTCAGTCAGCTGCAACGTAGGACCAGGCACGTATATGCATCGGTCCAAGTTGCCATACCGCATTAGCACAACAAGATGAACACCGGATTCATAGGAGTAGTTAATTCAGTGGTGGTAATATATAGAAGAAAGATTGTGTATAAGGAGATAGTAAAGGAAGAAAGAATTAGTTCCTAGACAGATATGAAGCGATTTTAATCTCTTAATTTAAGGAAGACAGAGAGTGTATACACCGACGCCATGGTGATCGATTCTGAGCCATGTCGCCAACAGTCTCCAACCATTGGTTACGATAGTCACGCGGACCCCAACCAGGCAGTCTGAATCTACCAACATGGCTCAGACCAGAAGTTAGTGACTTCAAGCACTGATGCCACGTTTTGGTTTGGCCGCCCCCAACTTTCACCCAACCATCCGCCACACTAGTCAGCATTGCGCGTCGTGGTAGTCGGTGTTCAGGCATACGCAACACGTGGCCCAACCATCTCAGTCGATGAAGATTCATAACCTCATCAACTGATTTACCATCATTCCCTAATACCTTGCGTCTAACCTCACTATTACTTACCCGGTGATCCCAGCAGATACCCGCAATATTTCTAAGGCACCTGTGGCCAAATACTAGTAGCTTACGAGTATCTTCTACTCTTTAGAGCCATGTTTCGCAGCCGTATAGAAGGACGGAACGAACTGCCGCGCAGTATACTCGTCCCTTAATTGATAGACGGATATCTCGCCTTCGCCATAGATGACGTAAGTTGGCAAAGGCCAAACGAGCTTTTCGAATCCGTGCTGAGATTTCGTCAGACACCAACCCATTAGGGCTGATCAGACTTCCAAGATAAGTGAAGTTGTCAACGCGTTCGACTACTTCACCCCCTATCCTTAGTTCAGGTGTTGATGCAGACCAGTCCTGAAGCAACAACTTGCATTTAGAGGGAGAAAAGCGCATCCCAAACATTCTAGCATTGTTGCTCAGTGCTACCAAAAGACTCTGTATTTCATCAGCGTCTTCACCAAATCATATCAACAATTTATAGACATAAAGGTAATATGAACTGAAAGTTTGAACAGAAATATCAAAAAGCTGGTCAAATTAGATAGTTAATTTAATAGCAAGTAGAAAGACTCAAAAATCAATAATAACTATTATGAAGACGATCTAAAAATTTAATGAATACATAATCGACACAATTAAAGAATAGTGACTACAATGGGTTATGAACTTAAAGATTTTTTTTATAACTTGTAACACTGAGTTTCCCGAACGTAGCTGCTACCTTGACGTGGTGGTCGAGCTTGCCTATCGTGATGACCCAACCGAGCTATATTGGCTGGAACACATGTTCCTGCAGGTTCTACCATGCCAGGCAGGTCGTTTGGAGAACGGGAAGACTAAAAGCAGCAACTCAAGGTCTGAGGGCGAAGTCGTACTGCTGACTGTACAGAGGTGTGACAGCAGTAAGGTGTTTACCTCGGACAACCAGCATCTGCAGCGATACTGCCTTCTCACAAGGAAGGAAGGGGTTAGAAAAGATTGACCCTAAAAAATGTCACACCTTACCTTACCCCACGGATTTCCGTCTCCGGCGGTAAGGCCCTTTGAAGAACGGAGCTAACACATTAAAAACCTCCCACAAAAAGGCCGTGCGCGACCGGCCTCAAGCAGTTGTCCCTTGGGCTCTGCGGTCACGCACTCAGGTCGCTAAGACCAACACTAATCCGATTTCCTTTTCAGGTTCCTCAAGAAATACCCTTCCACGGTGTGGGCAGCCGGGAAGTGACATCAGCCCTCATACCCGTAACAGCGCACGAGACCAAGTTGGTCACATTCAAATCCTTCCTACACCTCTTAATGACTCTCTTATCTCCACGACTAACCATTCTTACGTCCCTTTATCACCTCGCCCCGCTAGTGCAAACGATTCGAGTACGCGGAATGTTATTCCTGGTCTCCTGAAACCACGCTCCAAACTACACGTAGGAGCTTTCAACGTCCGAACACTGTGCCAAATAGGACAACAGGCTTCCTTAGCTAGGACTTCAGAACCTCGCTTCACTGATGTGTGCTGCGTCTCCGAAACGCGCACACAGGATCCGAGTAGTGTCATTCATTTGACCGCACCATGTCAAAGTAACGAACCAACTCGATTTACGCTTCGTGTATCTGGAAGCCCTGATGCTGCTTCCCGTTTCCTCGCTGGCGTAGGTATAGCATTGAATCCTAGGGCAGAACTAGCTCTCCTAGACTGGATCCCAGTAGACAGTCGTTTGTGTGCTGTCCGACTAAACGGAACAGTAAGGACTCGAAAAGATAGGGACACTCGTCATTGCCTCTTCGTCGTCTCTGCTTACTCTCCCACTGACTGCAGCTCAGATGATGTAAAAGATGAGTTTAACAGAAAGCTTTCCGACCTTCTCCGAAAAGCTAGGCGTTCAGATGTAGTAATAGTGGCTGGTGACTTTAATGCTCAAGTAGGTAAACTAAGCGAAAAGGAAAGACACCTGGGTGGATCTTATGGTGTCGCGGCTCAAAGAACAGATAACGGCGACCGTCTGTTGCAGCTATGCTCAGATAACCGCCTGTTTCTTGCAAACACTAACTTTAAGCATAAGGAAAAACATCTTTTTACATGGAGACCCCATAATTCGTCTCAACGCTGGGCCCAAATAGATCACATCGCTATCAGCCACCGATGGAGGGGCTTGCTCATTCTGGAGCACATACTTAGATTCAGATCATGCTCTGGTGCGAACGCGTATTTGTCTACGTCTTACTGGACGTAGGAAAGATGGTACAAGGAAACTCCTTAGGGTACTACTTAATGATAGTCAAGCTAAGAGTATATTTCAGGAACAACTAGAAGAACGGTTAGACAGCCATGTAAGTGATGCCCACCCCGAGGCAGCGTGGAATGACATCCGAAAAGCTGTAGAAACAGCAGTGTTGTCTGCAAGTACGATAAACCATAAGGTTAGGGAGAAACACTGGATCTCAGCAGCATCTACCGCACTGAAAGATGCTCGTAAACTCATTCCATCTGGCTCTGAACATAACGAAGAGCGGAGTCAGCTTAAGCGTAAGCTGACTAGAAGCTTACGCAATGATCGTGAACAGTGGTGGGTAGCGAAAGCAAGAGAGATGGAAAAGGCAGCAGCAATAGGTAACAGCAGGCAACTGTTCAGATTTGTTAAGGAAACCGGGATTAGGAACCCAACTGTTAGCGAAACAATCGCAGAGAAAGATGGACATATTATTCATTCTCAATCCATTAGATTGGATCGATGGACAGAACACTTTAGGGATCAGTTCAACTGGCCTTCAGCCACACTTCGGTTTCCCATGATCTCCAGTCGACCTGAATGGCAAGTTGATGTAAGTCCTCCGAGTCTTTATGAAGTTGAAAAAGCTATAAGAAATCTGAAGCGTGGGAGAGCAGCAGACCCTGACAGGTTTACCCCTGAAATTTTTAAGGATGGCGGTCCAGTATTAGCAGCGAGATTGACTGAGGTCTTAGGTAGAGTCTGGGAACTGGACGTAATCCCATCTGACTGGTCTCAATCACTGATTGTGCCAGTCTATAAGAAAGGACAAAAGTCCTCCTGTGACAATCACAAAGGAATTAGTTTGACCAATTATAGTGTCTAAAATATTAGCTTCAATATTAATTCGACCCCTAACCAAAGCTCGTAAGAGCAGACTAGAGAAAACCAGGCTGGTTTTCGACCTGGACGTGGTTGTATTGATCAAATATTCACATTACGTCAGGTCCTAGAACATAGACACACATTCAGACGCCCCACAATGACAGTATTTCTCGACCTTAAGGCGGCATTTGACTCTGTTGATCGTGAGGTTTTATGGCAGTGTTTGTCACTGAAGGGAGTACTAAAGAAGTACATTAACCTTATAAAGGCTCTCTACTCGAACACAACTGGTCGAGTGAGAGCTTATGGTGAACTGTCATCAGAATTGATTACCTCAAGTGGTGTTCGTCAGGGCTGTCCACTCTTTTCATTCTTGTTTAACTTTGCCGTTGACGTGCTTTTAGAAATAACACTTTCCTCATATAAATTTCCAGGAGTTGAACTTTTACCGGGAGATTCACTTGTTGACTTAGAGTATGCCGATGACATAGTTCTATTTAGTGAAGACGCTGACAGAATGCAGAGTCTGCTGACCACTCTAAGCAACAATGCAAGCATGTTCGGCATGCGATTTTCTCCCTCGAAATGCAAAATGTTGCTTCAGGATTGGGTTGCGTCGACACCCGAACTAGTGATAGGGAGTGAAATAGTTGAGCGTGTCGACCGCTTCACTTATCTCGGAAGTCTCATCAGCCCTTGCGGTTTGGTGTGTGACGAAATCTCAGCCAGTCTATAAGAAAGGACAAAAGTCCTCCTGTGACAATCACAGAGGAATTAGTTTGACCAATTATAGTGTCTAAAATATTAGCTTCAATAATACTTCGACGTCTAACCAAAGCTCGTGAAGAGTAGACTAGAGAAAACCAGGCTGGTTTTTGACCTGGACGTGGTTGTTGTTAATTCTTTTACCGAAGTATATGACTACAGAATCGATGAGATATTTTTTCAACGTCTAAATTATATGATAAACCTGTGAATTTCTGCTTTGTATTTGTTGTAATGAGATTACTGATAGATTTACATTAATCGATGACTATTAAACATGGTTATCCAATTGATAATATTTCTATATTATCGACAGTATTTATGGCTTAGTATTCCAACACCTAACTGTAGATCCAATTCTTGTATTATAAACACTCTAAGCAACAATGCAAGCATGTTCGGCATGCGATTTTCTCCCTCGAAATGCAAAATGTTGCTTCAGGATTGGGTTGCGTCGACACCCGAACTAGTGATAGGGAGTGAAGTAGTTGAGCGTGTCGACCGCTTCACTTATCTCGGAAGTCTCATCAGCCCTTGCGGTTTGGTGTGTGACGAAATCTCAGCACGGATACAGAAGGCTCGACTAGCTTTTGCCAACTTGCGTCATTTGTGGAGTAGGCGAGATATCCGTCAATCAACCAAAGGACGTGTTTACTGCGCAGCAGTTCGTTCCGTCCTACTTTATGGCAGTGAAACATGGCCAGTAAGAGTAGAGGATATTCGTAGGTTACTAGTATTTGACCATAGGTGTCTTCGAAACATTACTCGTATATCCTGGGACCACCGAGTAAGTAATGCAGTTGTTATGAAACGGGTACTAGGTAAGGATGGCAAATCAATTGAGGAAGTAGTGAAACTTAATCAGTTGAGATGGCTGGGACATGTGTTGCGCATGCCCGACCACCGACTGCCCCGACGTGCTATGTTTTATGGTGTAGGAGTAGGTTGGAAGAAAGCTAGGGGCGGCCAGACCAAAACATGGCACAAATCCATGAAGTCACTGACAAGTGGACTGAGTCATGTTGGTAGGTGTAGACAACCTGGTTGGGGTTAGCGAGATGATAGCAACCGATGGTTAGAGACCTTGAATGACATGGCTCAAAATCGTTTGCAATGGCGCAGGTGCATCCACTCTATGTGTTCTCTCAAACTCTAATCTTCTGAATTCTTCATGTCCTTTATTTTCTTTCCCAATTTATTCCACTGGACTATACTCCTTTAATAACATCATCAAACCTTAATGTCCCCTATCTCTACTTATACTTTCAGTACCTCTACCACTATAGGATTTGAATCGATAACTGAATCTCTGTGCTAATGTGGTATGGCAACTCGAACTGATGTACGTACGTAAGAAGTTCCACGTTGTTACTGACTCACTGACTAACACTGGGTTTAAAAGTTGTAACACACAAAGCGCATCCTTTGGCAAACATCAACCTCTTTGTTTGAACAAGCAAAACCGGAGATACTCGTTTGCAGAGGACAGAAAACAAGATCTGAAACCATATGATTTACAAAAAACAATAAGTATGATTGAAAATAACTGCGACATGATTATGAACTCCGAATCTGTTACGGGTTAGCTTCCAGTAAAGATAACGTGATAAAGCGGTATGAAACTATTTCAAATTATTTGAATTAGAAAAATGCATAACTCGAGTGAATAGCCACCCATTATTTAAAAGAGATATGGTTCTATATGTATTCCGTGGTGTTCTAATAAAAACCCCGAAATATAGGTTTAAGCCAATTACAACTGAAAACAGGGACATAGTGGTCAAGTTATGATTTGACTATAGTCATTATTGAACACTAACCATTGGACTTCTAAAAACCGTGTGGCTAGACAGTAATGTGCTATCCTTGAGACATCAATGTTCATCGCTTGACTGAGAACAAGAATGGGGATAGATACTCGTAGATCTTGGACTGAACATGGAGATTTCTACCACTTCATGGTTTCTCAGCCATCAGTTTGTTACACGAACTATTTCGCATTCACAAGAGACGACATAATAAATCCGGTTTGCGATGTAGAAGCAAGATAATAGAAATCGAAATACTTCTGAATGTTATCTATCAAGTCAAGAGGAGAAAACGATCCATCAGTGTGTTAAATTAATGCATATACATCCACACTAGGAGAATTCCTCTCCACTTAAAGAAAAAAATAGCGTTTAATCATTTAAATGTAAATCTTTAAGCGTTATGCAATACCTCTTCAATAACTGCAGCACGAAAAGATGCACCACGAGTAGACATTTCGTTTAAATTATAAGAGGTTGAAGAGATCGAACAACTGTTTCCCCGAAGATTATGTCTCGTTTTAGCCAGTAAAAGTCTTCCTTCACCTTTCATCTAGATGTACAGTAATTCCATAACCTACTTAAAGAATCCTCTAAATGGTGATTCAAATCAATAATGGTAGACAAATTTTCCAGATGATTTAATACAAGTTCGTCTAACTCATCATCAGTTGGTATCATGATCATTGATTTTGAATATACTGGAAGGAATGAAGATATTTTGTTGGTAAGTATAATAGCTTCCTATACTTGCCTGATGAAAATTGACTTGAATCGGGTTGTTAGCAGTAGCGTCACACGAAAAAGATGGAGCTGGAGAAAAAAATTGGTAACCGTAGTGAAAATAATATTAAAAAATGAAGACAGGGTCAGCTAGAAAATGTAAGGGATTGATATTTCCCAGTTTCCAAAACCATAGAAGGACATTTCTCCTTGGGGATCTGGAAAGGAAAATTGATTAGTAGTGAAGGTTTCATTGAATTAAGAGCTTGAATCCAGTACACAAAAGAAAGTTTTCTGAAGCTTTTCACACGTTTTTGAATAGCATCTTACATCTTAGCTACGTGTATACATTAGATCCTACCACTAGTACATGAAGTTCATGAGGTAAGGCGAAATGTTCCATTTTTATGTTGACTTTTCCAAATCCTTCTCTCCATTGCCCAATACGTATAACAAAGTTGAGAATTCACAGTAAAACCAACCTTTACTTCATTTTCACTGTTACATAACTGGTACCTATAAACAGATAATGATGTCCAATGCTTCTCGGTCAGTGATAAATAATGCAAGATTTAGCACAAACGTGAAAAACACTTCTCATCAACAGGGTACAGGAAATCAAGATTAAATGCTAATTTCTACTAAAATAATACTAAAAAAACTGTGTATTAAACCTAATGAATATGCTATTCAGAATCAAAGAAACAAATCGTAGAGTGAAAAATACTAAGTAGCATTACGCCTAAGAGATTAAAGACAGGAAACGGATGCAAATGCACTAATCTAATAGATTTTGGGTCACTTTACTCAAGGTTTTCAAATACATACTGCAGACAGATAGATATCATCAGTGTATAACGTGATACAGATGTAAGTTGGACTAATTTGCCACACCATATTAAGACGAAATAAAAATAACAAAAGTGATCGAAATAATGTAATAGCAATAATAAAGACTAAAGTTTAGGAATATAGTTAGGGAAGACAGAGTAGTAGTACTTACGGAGAGATATTTGGATTAAAAATCGAGAGGAACATAAAAAGTGAAGGGATCTGCAACATGGTGAACTGTTCCGAGCCAGCATCTTAGAATACTGATGGCAGTTACCACGCAGACCCCAAGTACCTGCATCTACACATATGGCTTAATCCAGCAGTCAATGACTTTATGGACTGGTGAGATGTGGCCTATATCCTAACCACCTCAGTCGAAGAAAACCCATTATCTAATTTACCAACTTTGCCAAGTGCCCGATGCCCAACTTTAAAATTGATGACTCGGTTATTCCATGAAACACGAGCACTGCTCCGTAGAAATCGATGACCCGACACCTTTAGCATACGCGTGTCTTACTTTCATAGATAATGTTTTACAGCCATGAAATAATATTAAGTGGACCGCTGTGTACTATATAGGCCTGGGTGGCAAACAGAAATTTTGCCTACGCTACAAGTTGAGCGAGCCGACAAACGTTAAGTGGGTTTTCTGATTCTGTGCCAAGATGATGAGATCTCCAAAATAAATAGACTGATCAATGCACTCAACAACTTCACTCATTATTACCAGTTCTGAAGTATTTTGAGAAAACCCATTCCGCACAAGCTAGAATTGTTCTTTGAGACGATCAGAAGACTAAGTTCTGTCAGCGTCTTTACCAAATAAGGCTACATCATTTAAGCCTTCTAAATCGGTTAGCGGATCGCCTAGTAGGAAACTTGGTAATATCTCGGTTAATTTAATTGATGAAAATGGATCACCAAACCTACAGATCTCTATGAGTAAACCATCGGGTTTTGCTGCTATCCATCGTCTTAGATTAACTATAGTATTTCCAACCTCATTAAGAGTTAGAGAACTTGTACCAATACCCCGCTTAGGTTTATTAAGAATAAAGGGTGACTGAACAGTAGCTGGAGGTTAGTGGAACTGTTCCCTAAAGTGTTTTGCCTATCTATCAAGTCTCCCTGATTGATAGTGGATAACAGTTTCATCCTTTTCCAAGATAGTCCCACTAACACCTAGCTTTTCAATAGTTTTTTTAATAAGTCGGTGGAGTCATCTAATATTACTTATCTCTTTTGTCTTACTTTTTTTGCTTTCGTTACCGACCACTGGTCACGATCATTGCGTTGACTTTTTATTAGTTTACGTTTGAGCTGTCGTTGATCTTCATCGTACCTCCAAGGCTGCCGAGATGACTAACCGAGTATCCGTCAATTTACTTTGTGTCACAGAAACCCATTGCTCTTTACTAATCTTTTAATTTTAGTTCTTGATCTCGCTGCTGAAATTACAGTTACTTGGACATCTTTTTAAGTCTCTTCAAGATGAACTATTACTTTAAGATCAATTAAGTACCTAGCTAATTTTTTCCAAGAATATATCCCTGATCTTTCCATCCTCTAATTTATAATTGGAAGGTCAGTCAGCTACAACGTAAGACCAGACACACATATGCACCGGTCCAAGTTGTCATACCTCATCTTCCGGTTGCAACTTTCTTACGTCCGTTACAGCGCATAGAAATGTGTGGTCTCATAATGGCATAGTTGCAGTTTAAATATATACCCCAGTAGAAACGAAACTCTTTTGTCGATCCTCTTCAGAGGTGGTTAATGGAGATGTGGTCTATTTGCACTCGTAGATGTGTCCGTGGTAGGGTCATCAAGTTAGATGGTGTCTCTCTTTATAATTAAAGTTTGTATTTACCATAAACAATTGACTGTTTGAACAGAATTACAGTAGATGGTCACTGTTATCTGCTCATTGGGTTGAGATACCATACGACCCACCTAAGTGTTAAAGTTGACCTAGTCTACCGACTTAAGATAGCCTGACACGACTAATACGTCTGAAGTTTCTAAACAAGATCACGGAGTCTTCTATTGAGACTTGTAGGACTGTAAGAGATTGTAGGGATGATGGTTTTATGAAGCAATACAGAATAAAGATAAGTTCAAAATATTTAACCACTGTAAGTGTGAGGACAGCTACTTAGTATTCTGTAACTCAATGCATCGTTATAATTTTCAGTCTATAATAAAGGGAAACTGATGATTATCAATCCATATAACTAAGATTTTTCGGCAAAGCCTTCAGGGAGTTCACTGTTCTCATGAGAACAGTGAGAAATGGACAAAGAAAAGTAAGAAACACGAGCGATGAACATGCTAATCGACGGGATAATCACTTAACAGTTGCCATTTCTATCTACTTCCCTTTCAACTTCATTAAAATTTATTCAATTTCTCGTTTATTATTACTTTAACCCAATCAATTGAGTATTCAATGCAATTACGTTCGTTTAAGTGTAATAAGCTTATTTGACGTCTTTTCAAGTAACTGTTATCAGTATTTCTACGCTACCAGGATTTATCACGAAGATTCAAAACGAGAAGAACAAGGTCTTCTATCTTCAGCGTACGTAACGCAATAGTACGAATGGCTGCGCGATTTCCAACAACCAATATATTTCTGACGAGGTTGTATAAGCCACTCGGTTTCTTCACACTCGTTTCTTGATCTTGTCGTACGGTTGTAAGTCCATATTACCATCCTGTGTAGGTAGTCTAGCCACTCCTACGCACTCATTTCATTGATGCTCATATGCAACAATTTTTTTTAATTATCCAGCTTTCGGTCTTCAATGGGAGGTCACTCGACCTAAATTAATTCCATGTAGCATTAAATAAATCCCCAAAATCAATATTTTTTGTAAATTTCAGTATTTGACGCTGATCGCACTACTTTTAATAGACCCATCTAGCTGAAGTAGCTCAGTCGCTCATCCGCACCAGATCACGAGTGAGTACATCGTGTTTCACATCTCCTACAACCGCTAGCTAGCTAAGCCTAGTCAGTTCTCGGTATATCGATATTACATCAATTATATTTTCGAACCTCTTCGCTTCTGACTTCTGATTTCACTGAGTTGGCTCGTTTTGGTTATAAAAGTTATTACTGGTTAAGGTGTTGTCAATCTCAGAATAACTTAAGCTTTTGAGCTCCTCTAGGATGTCCTTTTATATGAGCAGTTCAAGATGCAGGAGAAAAAATACGTTTTAAAAATACCAATATCACTCAATATACGTCATTCTGTACCTTGAGATAAGATAACAGAAATAGGTTGAGACGTCTCAGTCTGTCTTTATAAGATATCTAGCGAGATCTTTTACAATTTTGGTACCTCACCTTCGAACTAGTTCTAGTACGTTCGGTTTATACTTGAGATTCCATATTCTAAATATCTTCTCACAAAAGTCAGACAATACCCCACACATTTCTTTATCCTAGTAATGATATGACCCGTAAGATCCTGAAGTCTTTGGCAGCAGCAGCCTTGTACCTTTACATAGCTATGACTTCTTTGCTTCTTATGACTCCCAGACGGTTATAGTCCATTACTTTGGACAACACAAACCAACGTTTTGTGTGTTGATGTGAATCATCGCGGTTATTTATTTTTATCATCACACTCTTGCCAGAGTTAACTTCTAATGACCACCTGCACATCCATTCCACAAATGGATTTAGGTTATATTATAATAATATTCTATTTGAGATAGTGTGCATCGGTCTTCAAATCTTTATCGAATCTGGGAAGAATAAAACAGATGAATTCATTTCAGTTGGTAAGTCACTTACACAAAGTAAGAAAGAAGGGGGCCGAAGATTTTGCCTAAGGAAAGTCCATTATTACAGATTCCAATGTTGATAGAGCTCCATTTACACGTATCTATTGTCTCTTATCATTGGAAAAGTCGGTTATCCAGTCTATGATTTCAAAGTGGACCCAAAAGCTTCCAAGATTTAATTTAAGACTCAGGTAACAGACCCTGACCATGGTTTTCCTTGAAAATAACATGTACAGGAATATTTCTAGCTTTCGCTGCATCCCAATCTTCTGTAACGAACAAATTTGTCAGGCATTACCATGTCGTTCCATGGATAAAAGATTATTCTTTTCTGCATGCTCTAAACTAGCCACCCGAATGATATTTTACATTAATTTGACAACTATGAAGAATTGTGATTTACTTAGTTAATAATAATGTTTTAATAATAGACCTACTCCTTAAATTGTGGATATGTCATTGTGTGACTGCCTAATCTATAAGATCCTGCGTGGAAATCACATCATTGTCTACAATGACTCATCGTATTGTAACGATTAACAACCCGATGTCTAGGGTTTTTAAAGGACACATTTAGGCTAAAAATATAATAATATACTTAATGCGAGCAAGGACAAGTATACAGAATGACCACGTTCGCAAAACTGAGCCATTGAATTCAGTCAATTCCTCCTGCCTTCTCCATTGTTGGTCTTCTCTCCGTGTCGAATGTTAAATATTTATTTTCCCAATTATCTCGTGTTCAGCTTTGAGGATTGTGTGGTTAAGGCCCAAGGCCACTAAAATTATACAGGTTGGACTAACGGGTTGTTAGTTACTATGTCTCTACTCTCCAATTTATACGGCGAACTGATTAATGCCTCTTTCTGTGCTCTTGGCATTTAAGGATGCCTCAAAGTCATTTCAAACAGTATGGTAGAGATTCAGCAGACACAGCCATCAGAGCCTTCACAATCCAAGAATAAATGCCCTACATTAATCAATTACCAAGACTGCTTAAGTCATCAAAGTTTCTGTTTGGAGATGATGTCACATTCGGAAGAACAATTAATAGTGAGAGTGCTCATATTATTCTCTAAGCCAGATTGAATGATTTAGTCTGGCGATCCTAGAGTTGGAGTTTCTAGATTAATTGTAGGAGTGCACCAATGTACATTAGGCACGGTGGCAGTCATTAGTATACTTTTAGTAGTACATTGATTCCACAAGCTCAGGAAGAACATACATAAGAGTGATATTGATTCATGGCTTATGAACAGCTCTGACTTGTAATGCGTCATTTGCCAAAGATTTTTGAAGGGTATGGTCAATTCGTTGAGCATCTGAATTCCTTGATGAAGATGCGTTTCGGATTTTGTGCCCTACTTAATGGAGATATGAGCAGCTAGTCCATTTCCCATTGAGGACGTCAGCAAACACAATTGTGTTCAACGTGTGTAAACTAAGTCATTAATAGGTCTTTCCACATTATTCACTAATGAGTGACTATAAATGAAGATTCCACAGGTATTGGGAATTTGACAACGCCTTTATACGCAATACATTTATGATCGGAGTATACGATATCTTAGCTGGTTAGCATTTGCAAGGAATGAGTAGCACGATATATCTGATGCGATGGAATGACCGAGTACCTACAACTAGGTCAGCATTAATGACGAGGGTAGACAGAACAGTTTGTTTCAGGGGTTTATTTATCGCCATTAAATGTTTAAACTTCTCTCATTCGTCTTAGAATGCGAGGTGACCTTATAGTGATATTCCGTATCATTAATAACGATATGGGTGTTTAAGTACCTACAATTTACGTCCCCTCTAGAACTAGTTCTCTCCGAGGCCACACTAATGAAATCTGGAAGCCACGATCAAATAAACTAGGAGTGGGATTGCATTTCTAAATGACTGGATCACCCTACATTAGTACACTGTATTAACTTCACCAGTGAACATTCTTAAAATGAAACTGAGTTTCTACTGGACAATAAATTGAAAAAGCTAACTCAGACCAATCAACTTATTATCCATATTACTGAAGACTGAACTTTCCATTTCTTCAAGAGGAAAATTGATATATTCTTAAGAATTAAGGAATATATTTCGTAACAGTTTATTAATAATTCTCTTCTGCTTGTATCAAACACCTATGTGTTTTATATAGAAGCATTTTTGATCAGATTCTAATAGATATGGCGACCGCTTGAGTGAAAGCATTTTTACTCGGTCCAGATCCAAAAATATGAGGTAATACCCAGAAACTGGAAACACAACTCAGCAGAAAAAACTGTAGACATAACTTCTACTCCTTAATAGTAGTCAAATGTCGAAAATGTACTGACGGCTGCGCCAGTCCAAGCGACTTCGCAGGAGTCCTTTCAGAGAAAACATGACATATTCTTAAGGACGAAGAAGAGTATCTTTCTATGACCTACTAATTCTTTTTTCCTCTTTTATCGTTGATACACCTATGTTTCTGCCCAGAGTTATTGATAATACAGAGCTATTAGAAACGGAAGCCTGTTAAGCGAAAACTTGTATTCCGTCCATAACCATTTTCATATTCGAAGTCCAATAATGAAAGAAGTGCGATGGTTAGCTTGACTAAATCAAAACAAACTATAAGCTCATAGAAACATACTATGGAAACATAAGTAATCAACGTTCTATCTCCTAAGCACAGTGTTTGTAAACCTATGAATTTCAGTGCGATGTACAAGTTTAGGAAAGGCACTCATTTAAAGTCAAGGACATTTAGATGTGTCCAGCCATAAATCCAGATTTGTCCTTTCCGAGCATCGTATGTTTATACCAGCACATACTTTACCATTTCAGAAATCAAATTATGGGGTGGCGTTGTTGGACCGATTGACAAAGAGTGTCCTTGGAATTCCTACTCCCGAAACCGAGTTAAAACCTCAAAAGTTAAAAGAACATTTTGAGGGTGCGTTGTACGAACTGTTTTTACTCAAGTCAAGGCTGCAAGAAAAATGTTCTCAGATGGAGGTGAGTCTTTTTGAAAATGAAGTCTAATTTTAGATAAACCGATCAGACGGTTACTCACGTACATAGGCAGGTACCCCTCATAAGGACATTGTCCGATGACCACTGTTCTCCTGGGCTCTCATTTCTAGTTGTTCACAGTTGCTGTTCATTCCTTTAATTACTACCACCGATTCCGCACACAATGTGTTCTTGGGTCCTCCTCTTTTCCTTTTACCTTAAGGATTCCAAGTAAGGACTAACCTCGTGATGCAGTTTGATGATTTCTGCAATGCGTGTCCTATCCGCTTCCTAATTTACTCTTCATCTGGAAGTTGGTTCGTTTTCCGTCACAGTAGGTAGTTGCTGATGGTATCCGACCAACGGATCTAGAGTATGTTGCATAGATAATTGTGCATAAATACCTGTACTTTTCTATTGATGGTTGTAATGGTTCTCTACGTTTCAGCTTCGTACTGCAAAACTATTTAACGTTTTTGATGAAGATGACTACTGGTTGGTTTCAAATGTCTAATTGTTTCTTAGTCAATCATGAAGAATATACAGAGGTTGTTAATTTAAAAGGTTACTCAATATTACTAGTTGAATATTTCGTGGTTTAATTTGCTTCAATGCATTGTAGGATGTTTAGCGCCTCCATTTTTCTCGCTGACTTTCTAGTGTGCTTAAAGCTTATGTGTAAGCTTTAGAGATTTTGGCTAGATTCTGATGCTTCAAAACGCTTTAATTTTTTGGTTTCCACGTTTTAACACATGAGCATCAAGTGGCTTTGGTTAGATCTGAACGTTGTCAGTCAGTGAGTCAGTAACAACGTGGAACTTCGTACGTACGTACATCAGTTCGAGTTGTCATACCATATTAGCACAGAGATTCAGTTATCGATTCAAATCCTATAGTGGTAGAGGTACTGAAAGTATAAGTAGAGATAGGGGACATTAAGGTTTGATGATGTTATTAAAGGAGTATAGTCCAGTGGAATAAATTGGGAAAGAAAATAAAGGACACGAAGAATTCAGAAGATTAGAGTTTGAGAGAACACATAGAGTGGATGCACCTGCGCCATTGCAAACGATTTTGAGCCATGTCATTCAAGGTCTCTAACCATCGGTTGCTATCATCAACGGCGACATAATTTATGGGTGAGCCAATCAGAAGCGTTTGAAAGATTTCAAGTTCACGGCGTCAACTGCAGTGCATAATCAGTCAGTCAGTCAGTCAGTCAGCTGCAACGTAGGACCAGGCACGTATATGCATCGGTCCAAGTTGCCATACCGCATTAGCACAACAAGATGAACACCGGATTCATAGGAGTAGTTAATTCAGTGGTGGTAATATATAGAAGAAAGATTGTGTATAAGGAGATAGTAAAGGAAGAAAGAATTAGTTCCTAGACAGATATGAAGCGATTTTAATCTCTTAATTTAAGGAAGACAGAGAGTGTATACACCGACGCCATGGTGATCGATTCTGAGCCATGTCGCCAACAGTCTCCAACCATTGGTTACGATAGTCACGCGGACCCCAACCAGGCAGTCTGAATCTACCAACATGGCTCAGACCAGAAGTTAGTGACTTCAAGCACTGATGCCACGTTTTGGTTTGGCCGCCCCCAACTTTCACCCAACCATCCGCCACACTAGTCAGCATTGCGCGTCGTGGTAATCGGTGTTCAGGCATACGCAACACGTGGCCCAACCATCTCAGTCGATGAAGATTCATAACCTCATCAACTGATTTACCATCATTCCCTAATACCTTGCGTCTAACCTCACTATTACTTACCCGGTGATCCCAGCAGATACCCGCAATATTTCTAAGGCACCTGTGGCCAAATACTAGTAGCTTACGAGTATCTTCTACTCTTTAGAGCCATGTTTCGCAGCCGTATAGAAGGACGGAACGAACTGCCGCGCAGTATACTCGTCCCTAAATTGATAGACGGATATCTCGCCTTCGCCATAGATGACGTAAGTTGGCAAAGGCCAAACGAGCTTTTCGAATCCGTGCTGAGATTTCGTCAGACACCAACCCATTAGGGCTGATCAGACTTCCAAGATAAGTGAAGTTGTCAACGCGTTCGACTACTTCACCCCCTATCCTTAGTTCAGGTGTTGATGCAGACCAGTCCTGAAGCAACAACTTGCATTTAGAGGGAGAAAAGCGCATCCCAAACATTCTAGCATTGTTGCTCAGTGCTACCAAAAGACTCTGTATTTCATCAGTGTCTTCACCAAACAGGACTATGTCATCTGCGTATTCTAAGTCAATAAGTGGACCTCCTGGTAGGAGATCAATACCCGAGAATTCAGTCGATGAGAGCGTTATTTCCATCAGGATGTCTATGATAAAGTTAAACAAAAAAGGAGAAAGTGGACAGCCTTGACGGACGCCACTTGAGGTTGCAAAAGCAGATGACAGTTCGCCATAGGCTCTGATCCGACTAGTAGTGTTCGAGTAAAGAGCCTTCACAAGGTTTATGTACTTCTGAGGTACGCCTTTCAATGACAGACACTGCCACAGAACCTCTCGGTCAACAGAGTCAAACGCTGCTTTTAAATCAAGGAATACCATTATTGTCGGACGCCGATAAGCATGCCTGTGTTCTAGAACCTGACGAATGGTGAATATGTGGTCGATGCAGCCACGACCAGGTCTGAAGCCAGCCTGATTTTCACGTGTTTGCAGCTCACGAGTCTTAGTTCGGCGTCCGAAAATTATCGAGGCTAGTATTTTAGATACTATATTAGTCAAACTAATCCCTCTGTGGTTGTCACAGGATGATTTTGACCCTTTCTTAAATATTGGGACGATAAGTGATTGTGACCAGTTAGATGGAAGAACGTCTAACTCCCAGATTTTAGCTAAAATATTAGTCAACCTAATCGCTAAGACTAGACCACCATCCTTAAAGACCTCTGGGGCCAATCCATCTGGACCAGCTGTCCTTCCTCGTTTCAGATTAGCTATAGCCTTTTGAACTTCAGCTAGAGTTGGGGGACCTACTTCAATGTTCCATTCACACTGTCTGGGAATAGAGGGTAGTTGTAGAGCAGCTGAAGGCCAGCTAAACTGCTCCTTAAAGTATTCCGTCCGTCGTTCTAAGCGTCTGAACTGGGAGCAGATGAGAGTGTCGTCTTTTTCCGAAATGGTCTGACTTACACTTGATTTATTAATTCCAGTTTCTTTTATTAGTCTGTAGAGTTGTCTTGTGTTCCCTATAGCCGCCGCCTTTTCCATCTCTTTTGCTTTCGTTGCCCACCACTGCTCACGATCATTCCTTAGACTTTTGCTTAATCTAGATTTGATTTCTTTACGCTCTTGATCGTATTCAAAACCTGATGGGATGAGTTTGCGAGAATCCATCAGTGCGATAGACCTAGAAGAAATTCATTGGTTCTTTGTAACCCTTTGGTATAAATCACTAATAGAAGTCACAGCTGTTTCCACATCTGATTGTATATCTTTTCAAGCAACATCTGGATCAGCCTCGTTTTCAGAACTACCTAAGTGTGACCTCAGTTGTTCCTGGAACCTACTTTTGGTTTTTTCGTTACTCAGTTCAGTTCTAATTGGTCTTTTTAATGTGGCTTTATTGCGTCCAGTGAGGTGCAAGCAGATGCGTGCTCGTATTAGGGTATGGTCGGAGTCCAAGCAGGTACTCCAAAATGAGTGACAATCTACTATCGACCCTCACGATAGCTGATGGCGGTAAGGTCTATTTGAGTCCATCGTTGGTTTGGTGCAGGGGGTCGCTATGTTAGACGATGTCTCTCCTTATGCTTAAAATTGACTATGAATACAGTGGTCTTGAGTGCTGTTAGAGGTATGAGGGCGGTTATCACTTCCCGGTTGCCCACACCGTGGAAGGGTTCTGCTGGAGGTACCTGAAAAGGAAATTGGATTAGAGTTGGTCATAGTGACCTGAGAGCGTGACCGCAGTGCCCAAGGGACAGCTGCTTGAGGTCGGTCACACACGACCTTTTTATGAGTAGTTTTAGTGTTAGCTCCGTACTTGTTGAGTCCTTACCGCCGGAGACGGATATCCGTGGGATAAGGCGAGGTGTGCATTTTTAGGGTCAACCTTTTCTAACCCCACCGCTCCTTGTGGGAAGGCAGCATCGCCTTTATGCTGGTTGTCTGAAGGAAACACCTTACTGCTGTCACACCTCTGTACAGTCAGCAATACGACTACGCCTTCGGACCTTGGTTTTGTTGCTTTTAGTCTTACCGCTCTTCAACCGACCTGTCTGGCACGGTAGGACCTTGAGAAACGGATGTTCCAGCCAGTATAGCTCAGTTGCTTCATCACGGTAGGCAAGCCCGACCACCACGTTAAGGTAGCAACAACGGTCAGGCAGTGCTTAATGCTGACGTACCATCGGTTCACAGGGAATTTTGTACAGAACGTGATAATTGAGCTGCTAGAACAAATAAGACGGCGATACTATAATTTGTGGACGAATCATTCAGGTACAAGATAACAGATCTCGGATTTTGGCGCGAAAGGCTTTCATGCACTTGGCTAAATTAATTTCTGGCATTATATATGATATCAGTTCGTGATGAGAACCCTTTATATAATTCCTAAATAAGGCAAATTATGATAATTATTGCCAACTGGATAATAAAAGCACCAGTAACACTAGCTGCAGTCGGGTACTACAATATATACGGATGATTAGAGAGCGTACAGACTCCTACATAGGCTTGGTTATGTTCATCGTGTCGTTATCCATAAGTGGCATTTAGTGTACTCAACAACCGGAGTTCACACAAACAATATCGAAGCTATGTGGTCGAGGCTGAAAGAGTTTTTGAGGCTATCATGGCTCCAGAAGCCGACTATTCCGTAGCCATATCGGTGGTTTACTCTACTGCATGCATTATGAATTTAGAACCCCTGAATCTCTTTCTAACCTTGACAAGTTTTTGAACCACTTTATTTCTTTGGTTTTGTATGCTGTATTTTTACTCGATACTTACTGTTTGCTGATTAGCTAATA